TATTATCTCTTTCCTTGAAATCCTTGAGTACAACTTCGTATACTGCAGGAATAAGTATATCAAAACAATGTAAAACCATTTAAGAGAATGACAGCATTACAGAGTATTTAGAATCGACTAACAGAAAATGAACAATGGTTTCTGTATAATTTCCTTGTCTTTAAAAGGTTTTTGCTTATACTATCGTACATAATAAAATCCAATAAGATACAACCTATTTGGACCATTGGAGACAGAAGGACAAAAGCTAGATGAGACTTCAAAACAAGATGATACTAAATCAGTATTACCTATTAAGATGTCATTTTCTCCAAAATAGCTGTTCCTATCATCCAATCTTCTCTGCCTCATTTCTGTTGAGCTCTTATTCTGTCAGTAGCTGTCAGTTTGTCTTCTTCACTTTGTTCTCTGCTCCATTTGTTGTGGCCTCCATTATTTCAGGACTCTTTGTATTTTTCTTTTTTTAGAATATCCTGCAATACTCTCTGTAGAGTTGAATTGGTGGTTGCAAATTCCCCCAGTTCCTCTTTATCCTGGAAGCACCTTGTTTTTCCATCAATTTCCAGGGACAGTTGTGCAGGATATCTCAATCTTGGCTGGAGATTATTATCTTTCAAAGCTTGAATTATTTCCCCCCACGCTCTTCGTGATTTGATGGTTTGTGCAGAGAAATCTGCTGTAATTCTGATGGGTGCTCCCTTGTAAGTGGTCTGTTTCTTGTCTCTGACAGCTTTTAATATTCTGTTCTTGTATTGAATTTCTGGAATTTTTATTATTATATGCCTGGGTGTTGCTCTGTTTGGGTTGTAGGTAGCTGGGGTCCTGTATGCCTCATACATCTGAGTATCTTTACCTTTTGCTAAATTAGGAAAATTCTCCTGGATTATTTCTGTGAGTAGCTTTTGTAGTTCATTTGTTTGTGTCCCTACTTCTTCTTTTATGTTCTTAATCCTTAAGTTATGGATCCTCTTATCATCTTCTTGTCTTTGTATTATTGCTGTTTGTTTCTTTGTTATTTTTAAGAAGTTTTTCATTTCATTCTCCCATATTACAATTCTGCCCTCCAGTTCAGATAGTCTGTCCTTAGTTTCTTTCAAGCTGTTATGCCAGGCTTCGATAGACTTCTTAGTTTCTTGGTAGTCCCTTTGAACCTGCTTCACGTATTCTATGCTTTCTCTGTTTTCTCCATCAAACAATTCTCCCCTCTTTTTCTGTTCTTCCATTCCACCATCTGTTTTTTCTTGGGTGGTGCTTAGCATATCTCTAACTATTTTGCATACTTCTAGCTTCAGGTCGTTGATAACTTCATTCCTGAATTGGTCTATGAGGCTCTCTATGTGGCGCCTTATGTGTAATGGTGCGGTGTCTGCTATTGCCTGTTTCTCAGAATTGGGGGCTGAGGAGCCTTTCTTGTTGCTGCCTCTTCCCATATTCTCTGTTCCTTATATATGCAAGCTTATATGAGAGGCCCAGCTTCTCTCCCTGTCAGCCACAGCCTGATCAAATTGCGCCGGTTAGGTGTTCCCACTCACCGCTGCGCACCAGGCAGCCTACGCGGGGCCCGCCCCTCCCGGCCTCCGTCGGGCTCTGGGATCTGGGTTAGGCCAGCCTACGGGGTCCGCCGGCAGCGTCACGCAGGCCAGGCACTTTTCACCAATCCTGCCCGAGAGGGGGATGTGTGGCTGGAGTCCCCACCGCGCCCTGCTCCCACAGGACTGCTCGGGCCCAGAAAGTCCGCTGGAGTCAAACTGTGGTGGAGTGTCAGTTTCTCTCACTCACCTCGCCACAAGTCAGAACATGCCTCCCTGCCCGTCCTGTTTTCGACTCCGTTCGCAGACTCCCATTCTCAGAGTTTCCGTGCGTCTCTCTCCTTGCCGAGCCGATGTAGAGGCAGCCAGCCACCGCGCGGCGGGAAACCCAAATGGCGTGGGGTCCAGCCTCAGCAGCGAGGCTTTTCTGTTCCTGTTTTAGCACCAGGACTGCATTCCAAGTTGGTTGCTCTCAGCCGAGTTCGTTCCTGAGTCAGCAGAGCATAACTCCACCTGCTTATGTCTCTTTAGTCCGCACTATACCTGGCTTCTGAGCCTAGTTTTTAGAGAGCCTCCGGTAGTTGCTGTTATCTGTCCGCCATGTTCTCCCGGAAGTGAAATTGCTGTCTTAATGGGCAGTCCAGGCTACCCTTGTGTGTGAGTACTGAGAAGAAAACTGCTCGGGAGCCAGGCTTATGTCAAAGATTAACTTCTCAGAGGATCACAGGGTCATTTGGGCCCCAATTTTGGGTCTGGATGATGTTAAGCAATGTAGCCTTTTCCAGAAGAGAGTGTACAGAGTTTGGACAGAAGGTTAGGTTACCATGGCAATATGAAATGCTGAATGATTGATGCTGGATCGTGCCTTATGGCTTCCCTTGGATGTTCTATCCTGCAACACCATGCCATGTGGTCTTTTCTGGGCCCCTGTATGTCTGTTTCTGAGGCTTTTAGGGGAGTCAGGTTCTTCCCTGCCACCTGGCAGCCTTGTAGACACGCAGTTTGTAGAGTTTCCAATGAGACTGCTCTGCCCTAAATGGGTACTGCCTTATACTCCGTGGTTGGCTTGGACAAAGTCTGTGACCATCTACTGACTAATTGGTAAGTAGGACACATCTTCAAAGGATAACACTGGCCACAGACATGAAGAACCGTGAAAACAGAAGTTTGAGTACTGGTGGCGGCCACATATAGGGCAGAATAAGACAAAAGCAGATGGAAAGAATAGATTGGAAAAAGGAGGCACAGGTTTGAAAGGCTCTAGTATGTCTTCGTGTGGGCTCGGAATCGATACAGGCCAAGGTAGAAGATGCCAGCACCAAATAAGGATGAGATTTACAGGAGGCTGGAGCCTAAGATGGGTAGCTGAGGACACCATGGGGTCTGGGGAAGGGAGACCAATGAAGCAGCCCACTCTCACATAGCTGGTTGATGTAGCTGAGCTAAGAGTGCTATGTCAAGATGTAGAATCACTGTTTTCAATTAATTGCTGATGTTCCCATCACAGTTCTTGGCAGGGGATGGGGTGAAGCTCAGGGCTGGGATCTGATTTGATCTGATTTGATCATTACGTGGTGAAAGTAATTACTTGGCTGAAAGTTTAATGGTTTGGTTTGTAGGCTGTGTTAAATGTGCCGGTGTAAAAAAAAAAGCCTCATCAAAATGTCATTGACAACTCACTCCTTATCATATGTAAACTAGAAAGAAATCTTCCTTTTAATCTTTGCTGTTCAGCAAATAGGTTTCTCTTGTAGAGTGGAGGAGGGATGAGCCACTTACCCAGTGAACCTGAGGAAGGGAAATATGTTCTCCTAGGCTGATGGTGTAATGCCTGCCACTCAGTCTACAGGTGCCACCGGGCAGCATCAGCACCTTACAACATGTTGGAAATGCAGGCTCTCAGGCCTGACCCCAGACTCAATGAAAGCTTGCATTTTAATAAGATCCTCCCATGCTCTGTGTGTGTAGAGATATTCTGGGAGAACTGCTGAATAAATATTCCTTATGGTACTTTTCAGCTTACAATGGCACTGTCATCAGCAGCAGGAGAGGGTGGGACTGATAACCATATTAGATACATGGCACCTTGTCATGGTTGATTGGGTTATGGCTGGTCATCTGACCCAAGCTGGGCCAATTCAGAGCTCTCCTCTGGAAATTTGGGTTAGGATGGTGTGTGTGTGTGTGTGTGTGTGTGTGTGTGTGTGTGTGTATGTGTGTATGTGTGTGTGTATAAGAGAAAAGAGAAAAGAGGGTAGGGCAAGAGGGAATTGGGAGGATGTGGGGAGGCAGACCGCTCTTCTTTAGGCAGCTGGATATGTGTCACATATACCCAGGAGTGAATTGTTTTATACAGGCAGCAAGGCCCTGAGCACAGGAAACTAGAGGGGACAGAGCTAAGATTGAGCATCTGTGTTAGACACTGGACAGTGATCATGGCTTAGTCTATCTGAGCTGTGCTAATACAGTATTAGAGACTGGGTGGCTTACCAACAGCAGAAATTTATCACAATTCTAGAGGCTGGGGAGTTTAAGATCAAGTTGCCAATAGATGTAGTATCTGGTGACAGTTCTTCCTGGTTTTTCAATAGTGCCCTGGCATTGTTTCCTCATACGGAAGAAGGGGAAAGTGATGTCTGGGATTTCTTTTTAAGGATATAAATCCCAAGAAAGCCCTCATGACCTAACCACCTCCCAGAGGCCCCATTACCTAACACTACCACCTTAAGCATTAGGATTTCAATATGTGAAATTTATGGGAACATAAAACATTTAGATCATAGCAGATAGCTTTTATGTTTTCCTTCTAGTCCCATCCTAAAACAAAGCTGAAATTCTACTCTCGGGCTCCATAGAGCATCTCTGAATCTTGATGAAGAATTGGTTGACCATGACGGCTAAGATTGGATGTGGTAGCATCCAAAGAACCCAACTCTGGTTCTCTTCCATTGGAGAGAATCTTTTGACTGGGGGTGGTGTCACACAGGAAGAGCATGGTCATTCCCATGGGAAAACTCTGAGTGTGCCATCATGGAAGAAGAATATGTGCCGGATAGTACAAACTGTAAAGATCTGTGTCTGGGTTTCTTTCCTGGATCAAGGATTGAGGGACAAGTAATTTATTTGTGGGAGGGTGATTCAGGAGAACAGGAAGGAAGGAGGGAGGGGACAGAGTAAGTCTGAAAGAAGAAAAAAATCCAATGAAAGATGTGTTATCTAGGTCATTGCTGTGGGCAACAAGTACTCTGCCGTTTATTGAGAAGCAGACAGAACGCCTCCTAGAATGCTCTGCCTTGAGGTGGGGAGGCAGGAGAGCCCACCTTTGAGGACCCGCCCCCCCCAGTAATACCCCATTTGTCATATGTTTCCAATGTGCCCCTTTTGTGGCTTTGTGTCTTAGAGTGAGCTTTGGGCAAAGAGTAGAGAAACTCCAGGTAATATGTCCTAAGTAATCTCTCTCTTTTGTCCCAGAAACTTCAGTGTTCTGCTCCAGCACGGCTGAAATCAGAGAAGATTGGGAGAATGTCATAGATGGCACAGAAATACCTGCTGCAGTCACAACACACCTAAATGTCACATCTCCTTCTCCTCAGGGCCTAAGTAACCCAGAGCGTGGGCACACGGTCGATGCTCACAAATTGGGATGGCCGAGTCATTGTCTCCGTGTCATCTGCCTATTACCTTCCAATTAAAATGTCCCCTTTTTGCCTGCATAAACGGAATTAATTGGGCAACTGAGAACTTTATTCCTAGTAACGAGCAAGGACGAAATGTCTTAACTTTCTCTGTGGTTTTATAGATTTCTATGGTTTTTATTTTGTAGAAAATGTACAATGTCACATGCCTACCACCATGCATCTCTTAGATAAATAAAAAGCAATTACTGAAGTATTTCCTGCTGAATAGATCATTTTCCTGATTCCTGCCTCATAGAATTTGTGGAAGAAATGGAAAATTTCTCATTTATTTGACTGATTTTAGTTTTCTACATGGTCAACAAATGCATTCTCTGGACTTGGATCTTCCCATTCATTTGCACAATCTCTGTGCGCCAGCCCTGTTGTTTTTGTCTTGGAGGAGTCTCTGTACAGAACAGCCCTGCTCTGGCAGAGGTAAGAGCTGACATCTCCAGTTTTCTTGCACTGGAGTTTTCCTTGTTATTTTTGATTTGTGGCATGCCTGCCTCTGATTCCCACAGTGCATATGTGTCTCTTTCAGGCACCACTTGCCAAATTGCTCAGGATGCACCCCTCTCTGTGACCGACTCAGTGTTACAGGGTATGCGGCTGTCACAGCTCTTGTCCAGAGGCTTATCCACGTTCCTGGGTGGCTTTTGAGATGCGTACAGGCCGCATTTGTCTCAGACAATACATTACTCACTGGCTCTTGTTTCCACATTTCAATGTACCCTGGAAAGATCCAAAATGCTGCCATGTCTGATGACAACCACTTGTGGAAAAGCACTGGGTTTTGCCTAAGCGCCAGTCATCCTGGATGTGGGGAATCCAGCTGGGTCTGTGTGTAACAGGACTCTCCCAGCATCAGGGAGAGGAAGGCAGCCTCTTCAGGCCCAGCTCAAATGCCACTTCAGTTCATTCCCACAAATGCTTGATGAGACCCTGTTATCTCCCCTGCTCCCTGGAGACCCCATCGCAATTAATTATTTCTCCTCCTGGGTTCCTTTCTAAACTCATTACTCTGTTTATTGCAGTCTAGCTTAAATTGCAGTTAATAATAAGTGTATTTTTTCTTCTTGCTAGACTGTCAGCAGTGGGGGGAAGGAGAGTCGTTCTGCAGTTATCTGTTCTCTTCCTAAACGCAGCTGTATGCAGGATAGAGCCAATATATGTGTTGAATGCATGCATGTAGTTTACTTCCAGGGTCTGCCTTGTCCCCATGACAGTCCCCATGACATCCCACAGTTCCAGCTTCTCCTTTGCCTGACTTCTGATTTCCACTGTTCTAGTTCTTGGTCAACCCTTGAGGCGTGTGTCCATCAATTTCAGTTTCAAGTTTCCCACCTCAGAGAATTGCTTGGTGCCAGCACACCTGGCCACCAGGAGTAGGATGGAAAGCACCAGGTTTCTGGGTAGCTTCTTTTCACAGAGTAAGTTCTTTTGAGAACAGGTAGAAAGTTACATCTTTGCACACTGAACCTTTCAAGTTTTTCGGGAGGGTGAAACTGTTAAAATTAAAGATATTTTATTGCTTTCATCTTGTTACAAATGTAATAAAGGATAGTTATAGGAACTCAGACCTCCTTCAGACCTTAAAGTCTGTACAGTTCCACCCGCATGGAGACATAAACTTTTAACACTTTGGGGTATTGCTTTCTAAACCTTTGTTCATGTGTGTGTGTGTATGTGTGGGTGTGTGCGCACACTTCTCTTTCTCCGCTTAATAAAACTGAGATTCAAAGCCTATTTTAAACATCCTGCAGGAGCTCGTTATTTAAAGGAATTCTAAAATGAATCCTTTTGAGAGGTGAATAATTCCCTGGGGATTTATTTGTGCTGTTGGCTCAGGTAAAATCCAGAAGTCATGAACTGTCTATGGTTTGGAGGAGGGGAGTGTCTGGCAATCTGAAAATTTCTCTCTCTCTCTCTCCGACTCTCCATCCATCTGTCTATCCATCCATCCATCCACCCATTATCTATTATGCTATCATATATTTCCTAATTGAGTGTGGAGAGACTGACATAAAGAGGCAGGCAGGAAAGCCAGAGCTGGGTTGATTGAGTGCCCTCCACAGGGAGCCTCACGCACACAGTGCCACATATTTATGACGTTCCCCAAGGACTGGATTACACGGTAAAAGATTAACATCCCTGCTGCACAAATTAAAAATGCTCTATTATTTGCAGCATGGAGCGGTCTAGCTGAAGATCAGCATCTTCTCTTTGAACAACATAATTGAATGTCTCTCAGCCTGAACCCCTCACTGTATTGATTTGAATTAATTATTTGTGCATTTGTAATCTCTCGGCTTCTCTAGCCCAGGAGTGTCCTCGATCGCACCACTACACTGCTGCCCCTCCCAAGCCATCATCCCTAGTCCAGAAGCCTTTGACAGTCCTACGGACAATTAATCAGTCAAATGGAATCAGTTTTTGCTGATAAAGGAGAGTCTTGCCTGTAAAAGTGACAGTCCCTTTTATGGGAATCAACGTTCTGAAAAGCAACTATGGTCTGCCTTAGTTAAAAGCACAGATTCATTAGGTTCCCATTCAGAGAAGCTCTGGGGGACAGTGGTGGGAGGGAGCAAAGTTTTATTACTGAGGGTCCTAGGGCAGGGGTAGCGATGAGAACTTGAGTAGTCATGGCCAAGTCTCTTTGGTATTTAGGGAGCAGAAATCGTGTAGCGCCACACGGAGAATTAATCTGTCATGTAGATAAGAAGTTAGCAGATTGTGTTGTAGATGCACTGCAGATTTTCTTCCAAAACAAAACAGAAAATTTCATATACTAAATTTGCCAAGGGAAAAAGGAAAACACACACACACAGACACAGACACACATGCACACACACACACATACACAATCAACATTTTCAAGGAAAAAGAGGCTCATGTAATTTGCAATCCTATTTATCTTTGTTGCTGTGTTCTTGAATTGAAAACCTGACCCATGTTATGTTGAAACATGCTATCTGATTGAGCAGTGGGACTGTGGTTAACGGGAAAAGTTGTTTTGCTTTTGCTCTCTTTTGAGGACTGCTGCGAAGGGTGGTGATGGGTCCTGGCTATGGAAGGCCAGCAGGGTGACCACTGCTGAAGGGATACTGAGTGGCAATAGGATGGGTGCTGACTGAGGACTCCTGGCTGCAAGTGTTATGTCCACAGGTGCTTAGAGACCTGCATTGGGCAATGGGTGGGCAACAGGGTGGCAAGGTTCACAGGGAAATAGGGAGACAGCATACAGTATCAGGGGGCAGCTGCTGCATGGCACCCACCAGTCATTACCAAATCAGAATGTGGACCCTATATGGAAATATATAATGATTCTTTTTCAAGAGAAGCCAGAAATTTGCATTTTTACTTGGGTGTCTGATATTGTAAGGTAATGATGCAAATCCTTATAGACTAAACAAAAGGTACCTGTGAGTTAGATGTGCTTGTGAACTATCAATTGGAACCTTTGGGTCAGAGATGGAGATAGATATAAATTTAGATGTAAATTTATCTTGGGGGTGGTGGACAGGGTCAGTTATTACTGTTTTTGTTCTTGGAGAATTCCTGACGAAACTCTTGTTTTCACTTTGCTTTTACCTTTGCCTGCATGAACTGATTAATCACTACTTTTGTTTATGAGATGCTGTCGTCATTGTTCTGAATAGGGCAACAGTCACTCATTTATTCATCTGTGATAATGTGGTAAGTAACCTGTCCTACTGCTTAGTGTGAAAATCACCTTCATCTGCTAGTGGGCTCCTCAATCCTCTGCTCTTCCACACCAAGTTAATCATCGTCCTGTATCTGTATTCATCACTCTCTTGCTTCCTTTTTTTTTTTTGTACTGAGAATCAAACTCACAACCTCATGCTCGCAAAGCAGGTGCTTATGCTGCTGAGCTAAATCCCCAGCCCCCCCACCTTTTCTTTACATAGTTTTATCTTTTTGTTGTTGTTGTTTCGGGCCTTGAATTCATGACCTAGCGCTTGCCAAGCAGGTGCTTATGCCAGTGAGCTAAATCCCTGGCCCCTACATAGATTTATATTAACTGTGTGTTTTCTTAAGAAACCTATTTATCTGTCTGTCTGTCTGTCTATCCATCCATACATCCCTATCCTTCCTTCTGTCCATCTTACTATTTTTGGTTCAGTTTTAACTTTTATTTTATTTAGAGAAGAAAAGAAAAACAGAAAAAAGGTAGAAATAATACAGAATTAAAAAAACAGTAAGAAATCACTAGTTGATAAATCACATATTGCTATTTTAGAAGCAGTTGCTCAAGTCACAAAGTCAAAGCATAAAAAGTGGACAAACAATGACAGTACAAACATTCTCTTTGATGAGCTAACAAAAACTTAGTAGTATAGTTATCTATCTTGCACACTTAAACATACATACAGTTATATCCTTTAGAGCACTTTTTGGCCTTTCATTATCACAATATCTATTATTCATTTTGGATCTTATTACTCTTTCAGTTTATTAATATGATTTTTTATACTAGAGAGACAATATGATATTTACAAATGTGAGTCTGATTTATTTCACTTATGAGGATAGTCTCAAGTTGCCTCCATTTACGTATAAAGCCTCAAGATCACCCTTTTTAATAGCTAATATTCCACCGCATAAAAATACCACATCTTTTTCATCCATTCTGCAGTTGATGGGCATTTTGGTTTTTTCCAAGATTTAGCTATTACAAATTCCGCGTCTATAAACATGGGTACACACATATCTCTGAAACATGACCTTTTCAATTTTTCTGGGAAAATACCCAGCGGGGGAATAGTTGGATTGAATAGAACTTCCAACCCTAGTTTTTTGAGGCATCTCCATACTGATATCCACAGTGGCTGCGCCAGTCTACACTCCCACCAGCAGATGAGAAGTGTTCCTTTTTCTCCACAGCCTTGCCAACATTTGTTATTGGTTGTTTTCTTGATGGCAGCCATTCTTTCTGGAGTGAGGTGAAATCTGAATGCTGTTTTAATTTGCATTTCTCGAATGACTAGTGATGGTGAACATTTCGTCATATAGTTATTTGCTGTTTGTATATCTTTATCTGAGAAATATGTGTTCATTTTAGATCAGTTTTAACTTTTTATCAAAAGAATATCATGCTGTGTGTAGTCTTTTGGACTTCGCTTTTTAAACTAATAGATGCTAGGACCCACTGGTTGCTTTTCATTTTTAATTCATGTGCCTTGACTCTTACATAAGAATATTCTCCGACATACTCATCCACTCTCCAGTTTATGGGTATTTGT